TAATTATGCGAAATAAGTTATTTGCGCGCGCAAGTTAATTTAAGTGTAGTCACGTGACTGGAAATTTCGATATTTATCAGTGGTGAAGCGGGCCATCTTTCCTTTCCTATTCCATATGGGCTGCAGTTCACATCAAGACATTGGACGGAAGAGAATTACTCACCCTCCTCCCCGTTGTTGGACGCGATATGTTGAACTTATATAGATACGTTATGTGTAGTGGGCGTTAGTAATGCCCCCACCTTTTCTGTGCTAAATGTTATATAGTTATTAATTAATAATTTTTCTTGTTAATTATTAAAAATCGATTAAAATAATAAACCGGCTATGTGCCAACAACCGGGCACATAAGCCATAATTTTGCCATAAAGGCTTTGACTGGTTTTGTAGTATTCGGCAGCACAGAAAACCGAGCTCAGCCTGACAAACAGTTTCCGATGGTGGTCCTCAATGTGAGGAACCTTGTCCTCAGCGTGAGGAACCTTGTCCTCAGAGTGAAGAACCTTGTCCTTGGAGTGAAGAACCTTGTCCTCAGAGTGAAGAACCTTGTCCTCAGAGCGAAGAACCTTGTCCTCAAAGTGAGGAACCTTGTCCACAGCGTGAGGAACATTGTCCTCAGATTAAAGAACCTTGTCTTCAGAGAGAGGAACCTTGTCCTCAGAGTGAAGAACCTTGTCCTCAACGCGAGGAACGTTTTCGTCAGTGTGCGGAACCTTGTCCTCAGATTGAAGAACATTGTCCTCAGAGTGAAGGACCTTGTCCTCAGAGTTTAAATAACCTTGTCCTCAAAGTGACGAACCATGTCCTCAGGGTGAAGAACCTTGTCTTCAGATTGAAGAACCTTGTCCTCAGAGAGAGGAACCTTGTCTTCAGTGTGAGGAACCTTGTCCTCAGATTGAAGAACCTTGTCCTCAGAGTGAAGAACCTTGTCCTCAGAGTGAAGGACCTTGTCCTCAGAGTTTAAATAACCTTGTCCTCAAAGTGAGGAACCTTGTCCTCAGTGTGAAGAACCTTGTAATCAGAGTGAGGAACCTTGTCCTCAGTGTCAGGACCCTTGTCCTCAGACTCAGGACCCTTGTCCTCGGAATGAAGAACCTTGTTATCAGAGTGAAGAACCTTGACCTCAGAGTGAAGAACCTTGTCCTCAAAGTGAGGAACCTTGTCCACAGTGTGAGGAACCTTGTCCTGAGATTGAATAACCTTGTCCTCAGAGTGAGGAACCTTGTCCTCAGGTTGAAGAACCTTGTCCTCGGAGTGAAGAACCTTGTCCTCAGAGTGAATAGCCTTGTCCTCAGTGTGAGGAACATTGTCCACAGGGTTAAAAACCTTGTCCTCAGCGTCAAGAACCTTGTCCTCAGAGTGAAGAACCTTGTCCTCATAGTGAAGAACCTTCTCCTCAGAGTGAAGGACCTTGTCTCAGAGTTTAAATAACCTTGTCCTCAAAGTGAGGAACCTTGTCCACAGTGTGAGCAACCTTGTCCTCAGATTGAAGAACTTGTCGTCAGTGTGAGAAACCTTGTCCTCAGAGTGAAGAAACTTGTCGTCAGAGTAAAGGGTCTTGTCGTCGGAGTGAGGAACCATGTCCTCAGAGTGAGGAACCTTTGTCCTCAGAGTGAGGAACCTTTGTCCTCAGAGTGAAGAACCTTGTCTTTGGAGTGAAGAACCTTGTCCTCAGAGTGAAGAACCTTGTCCTCAGAGCGAAGAACCTTGTCCTCAAAGTGAGGAACCTTGTCCACAGCGTGAGGAACATTGTCCACAGATTAAAGAACCTTGTCTTCAGAGAGAGGAACCTTGTCCTCAGAGTGAAGAACCTTGTCCTCAACGCGAGGAGCGTTGTCCTCAGAGTGAAGAACCTTGTCCTCATAGTGAAGAACTTTGTCCTCAGAGTGAAGAACCTTGTCCTCAGTGTGAGGAACATTGTCCTCAGGGTGAAAAACCTCGTCCTCTGCGTGAAGAACCTTGTCCTCAGAGCGAAGAACCTTGTCCTCATAGTGAAGAACCTTGTGCTCAAAGTGAGGAACCTTGTCCACAGTGTGAGGAACCTTTTCCTCAGATTGAAGAACCTTGTCCTCAGTGTGAGGAACCTTGTCCTCAGAGTGAAGAACCTTGTCCTCGGAGTGAAGAACCTTGTCCTCAGTGTGAGGAACGTGGTCCTCAGGGTGAAAAACCTCGCCCTCAGCGTGAAGAACCTTGTCCTCAGAGTGAAGAACCTTGTCCTCAGAGTGAAGAATCTTGACCTCAAAGTGAGGAACCTTGTCCACAGTGTGAGGAAACTTGTCCTCAGATTGAAGAATCTTGTCCTCAGAGTGGGGAACCTTGTCCTCAGAATGAGGAATCTTGTCGGCAGAGTGAAGAACCTTGTCCTCAGAGTGAAGATCCTTGTCCTCAGAGTGAAGTATCTTGACCTCAAAGTGAGGAACCTTGTCCAGAGTGTGAGAAACCTTGTCCTCAGATTGAAGAACCTTGTCCTCAGAGTGAGGAACCTTGTCCTCAGAGTGAAGAACCTTGTCCTCAGAGTGAAGAACCTTGTCCTAAAAGTGAGGAACCTTGAACTCTGAGGACTCTGAGGACCCTTCCTTCACTCTGTGGACAAGGTTCTTCACTCTGAGGACAAGGTTCTTCACGCTGAGGACAATGTTCCTCACACTGAAGACAAGGTTCTTCACTCTGCGGACAAGGTTCCTCACTCGGAGGACAAGGTTCTTCACTATGAGGACAAGGTTCCTCACTCTGGAGACAAGGTCCTTGACGCTGAGGACAAGGTTTTTCACCATGAGGAGAATGTTCCTCACACTGACGACAGGGTTCTTCACTCTGAGGAAGAGGATCTTCACCATGAGGAGGAGCTTCTTCACTCTGAGGACAAGGTTCTTCACGCTGAGGACAAGGTTCTTCACCCTGAGGACAAGGTTCTTAACACTGAGGAGAAGGTTATTCACTCTGAGGACAAGGTTCTTCACTCCGAGGACAAGGTTCTTCACTCTGAGGACAAGGTTCCTCACACTGAAGACAAGGTTCTTCAATCTGAGGACTAGGTTCCTCACACTGTGGACAAGGTTCCTCACTTTGGGGACAAAGTTCTTCACTATGAGGACAAGGTTCTTCACTCTGAGGACAAGGTTCTTGACGATGAGGACTAGGTTTTTCACCCTGAGGACAAGATTCCTCAAACTGAGGACAAGGTTCTTCACTCTGAGGACAAGGTTCCTCACACTGCGGACAAGGTTCCTTATTTTGAGAACAAGGTTCTTCACTATGAGGACAAGGTTCTTCACTCTGAAGACAAGGTTCTTCACACTGAGGACAAGGTTCTTCGCCCTGAGGACAAGGTTCTTAACACTGACGACAAGGTTCTTCACTCCGAGGACAACGTTCTTCAATCTGAGGACAAGCTTCCTCACACTCCGGAAACGGTTCTTCAATCTGAGGACAAGGTTCTTCACTCTGAGGAGAAGTTTCTTCACTCTGAGGACAAGGTTCTTAACTTTGCGGGCAAGGTTCCTCACTCTGAGGACAAGGTTCTTCACTATGAGGACAAGGTTCTTCACTCGGAGGACAAGGTTCTTCACGCTGAGAACGAGGTTTTTCACACTGCGGACAATTTTCCTCACACTCAGGACAAGGTTCTTCACTCTGAGGACAAGGTTCTTCACTCATAGGACCAGGTTCTTCACTCTGAGGAAAGGGTTCCTCACTCTGAGGACAAGGTTCTTCAATCTGAGGACAAGGTTCCTCACACTGTGGACAAGGCTCCTCACTTTGAGGGCAAGGTTCTTCACTCTGAGGACAAGGTTCTTCGCTCTGAGAACAAAGGTTCCTAACTGTGAGGAGAAGGTTCCTCACTCTGAGGAGAAGATTCTTTACTCTGAGGACAATGTTCTTCACTGTGAGGGCAAGGTTCCTCACACTGAGGACAAGGTTCTTCACTCTGAGGACAAGGTTCTTCACTATGAGGACCAAGGTTCTTCACGCTGAGTACAAGGTTCTTCACCCTGAGGACAATGTTCTTCACACTGAGGACAAAGTTATTCACTCTGAGGACAAGGTTCTTAACTCCGAGGACAAGGTTCTTCACTCTGAGGAGAAGGTTCCTCACATTGAGGAGAAGGTTCTTCAATTTGAGCACAGGGTTCCTCACACTGTGGACAAGGTTCCTCACTTTGAGGACAAGGTTCTTCATTATGAGGACAAGGTTCTTCACTCTGAGGGCAAGGTTCTTCACTATGAGGACAAGGTTGTCCACTCTGAGGACAAGGTTCTTCACGCTGAGGACAAGGTTCTTCTCCCTGAGGACAAGGTTCCTAACACTGAGGACAAGGTTATTCATTCTGAGGACAAGGTTCTTTTCTCCGAGGACAAGGTTCTTCACTCCTAGGACAAGGTTCCTCATACTGAGGACGAGGTTCTTCAATCTGAGGACAAGGTTTCCTCACACTGTGGACAAGGTTCCTCACTTTGAGGAGAAGGTTCTTCACTATGAGGACAAGGTTCTTCACTCTGAGGACAAGGTTCTTCACGTTGAGGACGAGTTTTTCACACTGAGGACCAGGTTCCTCACGCTGTGGGCAAGGTTCCTCACTTTGAGGACAAAGTTCTTCACTATGAAGACAAGGTTCTTCACTCTGAGGAAAAGGTTCTTCACTATGAGGACAAGGTTCTTCACTCTGAGGACAAGGTAAAGGTTCTTCACTCTGAGGACAAGGTTCTTCACG